GACTAATTTAAGTACAAAATAATGAACGAAAACCAAATATATAACCACTGAATTACACGCTCCTGACTTCGGACAGGCACATACAGAATGTGGCGGGGTTAAACATGTTAGCGGGCACCCAACCCTCCCCTAACCCGGGATAGTGGTGTAACAGTACATTGAATGTCGTATGGTAAACGTTTTAAAAAATGCTATTAAATTGGAAATAGGGCGCGGGTATCCGTATGCCCAGCCAGTGATATTTGCATTTATCGAGTAATTGTATTTTCTTACCAATTTACACTTTCGTATAGATTTATTGATTTTTTTTTACATGTACAAAATACCTCCAAGAGTGTTCTGACAATACAACGGATATTATAGGTTGCTGTATGCATGTTAAGGGGGTAAATTAAATTTTTTAAACATGTATATTGGTTAAAATCATACCAAAGCATACTTTAATACATGCAAAATTCATTGACAAATACACTATTGTCGCAACGAAGCGTACAGTATACAAAAGTGTAATGATAACGAACCGTACACAACATGAAAATAAAGACACTTTAAAACATGTATTTTTTGGTTTCTAGATACCACATAAACCTACGATCTTTATAAGTTTGTTAATTTTAAACAATGAAATTTTCAAAAATGTATGTTTTAAAAACTATGAGGCACGAGAAACATTAAGTTTTGAATATTTAAAAATACCAAGCCAGTGGCGGATCCAGAGGGTGGCGTAGAGGGCGTACGCCCCCCCTTTGCTCGCACTTTTTTTTTTTTTTGTAAAATGATTAATCAGACTAGACTTCGTGAACTTTGCCATTTTCCGCGTATTTAATTTGTATGCGACAATTCTTTACTTATAAAGATATGTTTCGCTCGTAATATATTATTGATTATGTCAAAATCATGTGATTTGCTACGGTGGAGTTGACCAGTGCGTCGAAAAAACGTCACTCAGTCATTTTGAAATTCAAATTACAGTAACACATTGCTTAGGCTGAGGATGACAAGCATGACACCTTCAAAGAGACAAAGGATTGAGCAAGAACGTATTTATTGACTTCTATTTCACAATTCCACCGAACAGAAAGTCATACTCTATTACACTTTCATGAAAAAAAGTTCCACAGCAATATTATTTACCCAACACGCCCAGCCTATTAATAACATAGCTGAATAATGATCCCCAGTCAATAAGCTCTAGATAGATTTAAAGTCTAAGGTACGGACCATTTGATTTGAGGGGGCAGTCTGAGATGTTTGAGAGAACAAATTCTGACCCTGATTTTTTCCTTAAACAAAAATTCTGGCCGTATCCGTATTTTGGGGCCGGGGGATTTGCATGTAAATCCCATATTTTACCGGAATGTCTGTTTCGTCGAACTGATAAAATGAATATTTTTTTCAAGGCCCGACTGCAACCTGCCTGCCGGGTGTGGCCTTTATGTCTCCAATTGTCGACCGTCATTTCAACCAAACATTTGGATAAAAATTGCTTGTTTGTCTTTCTTAACTCGTGTCGGTCGTATTGTAAATTTCATTGAATAGCCCGGCGTATATCTTGTTTACAACAAGAAATCCGTGACGTTATGCTAACTAAACATACAACAAACGAGAATTTTCCATGTCAATTTTTTACTGACAAGTCCCACATCAAATATATTAGTACATAGCTTTGGATCCATCCAATCATTTTATAATAGACAATTAATGGGGAGAATACGGCATCAAAAATGTCCAACCCTTCCACTTTAAATACAAAATATACATGCCTTATGTCAGGAACCGTTAAAAAGTGCATTTTACACTTATTTTATGTTTTTTAGCCAAAAAAAGGTCCAAAAAAATGTTCGCCTCGCTCCGCTCGGCATTCTTTACATACTTCGCCCCCCCTTGCCAAAATCCTGGATCCGCCCCTGCAAGCATGCTTTTATCAGTGGCATTGTCGTGCGTTTTTTAATGTTTGCCTATAAAAATGTCACATATTTGAAAAACCTTTTAGTAAGTTATGAGTATTATGGCAAAGAATATATTGGAGCAAAATATCCGAAGAATAGATATTGGATTTTCTTTCAAAGAATAAATTTTTCGCTGTCTGAACTCAGTGGTACACGGTGTGTTCGATTTGAACGCGTCAACGTCCGGATTCATCTGTATCGGGGTTATACGGGGTGTAAATGAATGCTTTATAGCTGACTGTGCGGTATGGGCTTTGCTCATTGTTGAAGGCCGTACGGTGACCTATAGTTGTTAATTTCTGTGTCATTTGGTCTCTTGTGGAGAGTTGTCTCATTGGCAATCATACCACATCTTCTTTTTTATATTCATACTGTTATAATGGTGTACATTTGAGCATAAAGCGCGTCTTATAGCATTGTTGAACCAAAAGTATAATAAGTATGTTGGAATAGTGTTTGCCTCTCAAATTGTTGCTCTATCTTTAATTGTACTTAATTTACTGAAAGTGAATGTTTATTCATTTCCCTTTATTTCAAATGTAAGATTTTCAAGATTAAGATAGTAAAGCCCCCGAGATCTTTTTACAAAAATCTTAACTTAAAACTTAAAAAAGATTTACTGTAGAAATCCCTCATGGGGATGTCCAAGTAATTACATAACCACAAATATTTTGCCAATATAATCACATAATCATTAATCATTTTTTAAACAAGATAATCAAATAATCAAAAATACAATGCCAGAAGAATCGTGAAATATTAGGTCCGGTAATCAAATAATCACTATAAAAACGGCCATATAATCACATAATCAAGAACCCCACGAGGAAATTTACTCACTGTGGCAAAAATATAAACTGAATCTCTGTGTACTCATCTATAGATCCTGATATACCCACAGATGTGTGTCGCTAATGGCTAAATGACGTGGGCAATTATATTTGAGGGATAATGATATTCGTCACATTTTTAGCTCACCTGGCCCAAAAGGACCAAGTGACATTTCACATCACTTGGCGTCCGTCGTCCGTCGTCGTCCGTTAACTGGGGCCTCGGTGGCCGAGTGGTCTAAGTAGTTACTACTGTAATCACTAGCCAGTCAACACTGAGGTTGTGAGTTCGAACCCCGCTCGTGCGGGTGCACTCGACTCCAATCTTAATTGACTAGGATTGTCAGTTTTCCTATCGAAGGTCGGTGGTTTTCTCCGGGCACTCAGGCTTCCTCCACCAATAAAAACTGGCCGCCACGAAATAGCCAAAATGTGGCGCTTAAAAGTGGCGTTAAAACACCAACAATCAATAACAGTCCAAGGAATTGTATGCCATAATTAAAAGCTCATTTACTACATGTACTAATTATGAAAACGGTAATAATCTAATCAAGTAATTAACTAATATCTATAGAAAAATTATTACTCAAACAACAGTACTAGTATTTGGAAACCGCAAAAAAACACATGTAATGATCAACAAAGGGGTGATAATTATAACTTACTGATGGCATTAATCATTTTCTGAGGGTCGATACAGGGTGCAACGAATTTGTTCTTATCTAAAAATATTATCTTGTCAACTTTTCTGGTACGTAGCGATTTCTCAAATTTGTTAGGTAACTAACAGTCCTGCTGATGAAAATATATGCTCTGACGGTACAGAGGTGGGGGAAGTGACTAAGATTAGCTAAAAGTGTCAGCCTGGGAAACATACTCTTGTTCATATATCCTACATATACATGTACCTCTGTGTTGAGGAATTTAAATGACAGTTAAACGCAAACATTCGAATCGTTAACTTTTATTATTTTTAAATAACATATAATGTCCCGGGAGGTGCCTCAATAAAAATGTTTTTTTCTATACTTAAGAAAGCAACAACATTCTAACAGGAAACCGAGTAGTCGAGTATCATTTTCATAATCGATACTACCGAGCGATACTGGAGTACTCGAGTACTCGTTGACATCCCTATTTAAAGTAAATTTTTGGTAAATGTTTGCAAGTTTTTACCAAAATTTTCTCCTCTGAAACTACTGGGCAAAATTGAACCAAACTTTGACTTAATCATTCTGAGGGTATTTAGTTTAAAAAATGTATCCGATGAGCCTGTCCATCAACCAAGATGGCCGCCATGGCTAAAAATAGTACATGGAGGAAAAATGATTTTTTTTGGCTAATATCTCTGAAACTAATAAAGCATTTACAGCAAAACTGACAGGGATAAAAATGTTCATCAGGTCAAGATCTATCTGCCCTGAAATTTTCAGATGCATCAGACAATCTGTTGATGGGTTGCTGCCCGAGAATTGGTAATTTTAAGGAAACTTTGCAGTTTTTGGTTATTATCTATTATAAAAGATAGAGATAAACTGTAACAGCAATATTTATCAGCAAAGTGAGATCTACAAATAAGTCAACATGACCAAAATGGTCCATTGACCCCTTTAGGAGTTATTGCCCTCATAATCAATTTTAACAATTTTTTGTAAAATTTTGTAATCTTTTACAAAAATCTTCGTTGAAACTACTGAGACAAATTTAACCAAACTTGGCAACAATCATCATTACGGTATCTAGTTTTAAAAATGTGTCAGATGACCCCGCTTACCAACCAACATGGCTGACATGGTTAAAAATAGAACATAGGGGTAAAATGCAAGTTTTGTCTATTATTTTGTGAACCGTTATAAATAGAGAAAATCTGAATGGAACAATTATGTTCAGAATAATGAGCTCTACCAATTGTCCACATATGTCAAAACTGTTAGACAAATTCTCATAGTAGTTGTGGTCCATAAATGATACTTTTTTTTTCATTTTTGCCTATCATTATGAAAACTATGACATTCAGAGAGAAACATTTTTTTTCTGTTATGCCTCATATGATTTAAATTATAATAGATAAATAAACACTTTAAATCACTTGATAATGCAATAACAAATTAATGAATCATTATATCTGTCATTTTTATGATTTTATTAAAACGTTCATTATTAGCAGACATATCTTTCCTAATTCGGAGTTATAATTTTTATATATTTCTTCTGATTTTCTGGAATTTTTTTCAGACGGATCATGGTATTTTCACTACACGGATAAAGATTCAAAGGAAAAAATATTAAGCAGCCGTATCATTCGAGCATCTATAGACACTATAAAAGATGCATTATTTGGCATAGGTAGGTACAATAATTTAAAGAATTCTTTGTTCTAAGTATAACAGTTTGGAAACGGCAGTGTACGTTTCATTTTTGTTTGGATTATTCAAGAGTTGTCATAAGGCGATATTGGACTGACAATAACAAACGTTTACTATATTTAGTTGCTGTTTCAACTTCTGCTAATGACATCATTTTACAGAAATATATAATATTAACCAAACAAATGATGAAAACGCTATTTGTGTAAAAATTGTCTTTTGTCAGACACAAATGATTTAAAGTGCAAAAATAATTCCTATAGACTATTTATTTATATTAAGTCTTAACTTTCTAAAATATTTATAGCAGTTGTCCCTGTAAAAGTTGTAATAAAATCGTTTGCTTAGTGTTTAAAAATATTATTGACCGTAAAACCACTTCCAGAGTTGCTTTCCAATCGATTTTGGCCTCGAGCATCCCTGAAGAGACATTGGTTGTTGAAATGCGCATCTGGTGCAGAAAAATTGGTACCGTTTATGTTATTGCTACCACTGGGTCGATGCCTCTGCTGGTGGACTAATATTCCCTGAGGGTATCACCGGCCCAGTAGCCAGTATTTCGGTACTGACATGAAAATACGGATTTTGTGTTATTAAAAGGAGTAGGCCCGGGCCCGGTAAGACCTCTTTCTGGCCTCAAAATATAGCGTTTTTACAAAGTTGTTAAGTTGTTAACTTTTACTTATTTATTGGAAAGTAACGTGCTTTTGTTACATAAATATGGGCTGTTTTTGATAATACAATGGACATGCATTAGATACAAGCATCATTATTTCATGCAAAAATACCGATATCTTCACAATTTAAACATTTGTGCTAATTTTAAGACGGTTTTTGTCTAAAACGGAAGTGGCCGCACTTGTGTTCATTCTTAATATTTAAATATATGTTGTATTTAATGATAATACATAATATATATGTAGGACTCAAATCTATGGTGGGTTCCAGATCTATGGCAGATTCCTAATCTATGGTTAATATGACGTCATGCCATCCCCAATCTATGGCAGATTTTTTAGAATCCTAATCTATGGTAACTTTTTAGTTTCCTAATCTATGGCAATCTTTTTAGTTTCCTAATCTATGTCGGATTTCAAGTTTTCAAATCTACTAGAACACACCCGCGAAATCGCAGGCATTTAGTGCGTGGTTGAAAGTATGTGAACTGTTGTAGGATGAATTTTCGTAAAAGATTTTATGACTGAGGAATTTCAGGAAAGGTATCAAAAGTCTTAGCCTGCGGGTATCATGGTGACAGGACAATTTTTTTTAGCCCTCCCCCTTTTCCCAGTCCGTTATGTTTTGGTTTCTGTTTTTTTTTTTTGCATACTATGAACATACATATACTAAAAATAAAGTGTATTTGCTATTTATTATCAACTCCAAGTTTACTATCCACGACAGTCGCTGATATATTATATAGAGACTCTATTAATTCCAAGTTTACTATCCACGACAGTCACTGATATATTATATAGAGACTCTCTATATAATATATCAGTGACCGCCGTGGATAGTAAACTTGGAATTGGTAGTAAATAGCAAATACACTTTATTCATAGTATATGTATGATCGTAGTATACAGAAAAACGTGAAAATAATTGTCCTGTCCCCCAAGTACTTATGAAAATTATGTGCAATTTTAAACAGTCCTAAACGGAAGTCTTGTCTATGACTTAAACAATATCCGGACGTCTTTATTTTCGTTTTCCTCCCAAAATAACCCAAACTGAATAATCATAAGCGAAGATGCCAAATGCGACTATGCATGGTACATATAGGACACAGAGGCATAATGATTAATTTAGTGTGGAAGGAAGAGAAGCGACACACAAAATGAGGTCTTCTCATTACATAGTATAGAATAGATACACCCGCGAAATCGCGGGCATTTATAGCGTGGTTGAAAGTATGTAAACTGTTGTTGGATGAATTTTTGTAAAAGTTTTTATAACTGGAGAATTTCAAGAAAGGTATCAAAAGTCAAATGTACTTGGGGACAGGACAATTTTTTTTGCCCTCCCCCTTTTTTTACCAAAATCCGTTATTTTTTGTTTTCTATTAATTTCAATTATTTTCGCGTTTTTCTGTATACTATGAACATACATATACTATAAATAAAGTGTATTTGCTATTTGACAGGCAATTTTTTTTAACCCTTCCCCTTTTTTCCAAAATCCGTTATTTTTTGTTTTCTATTAATTTCAATTATTTTCGCGTTTTTCTGTATACTATGAACATACATATACTATAAATAAAGTGTATTTTCTATTTACTATCAATTCCAAGTTTACGGCGGTCACTGATATATTATATAGAATATATCAGTGACCGAAGTGAATAGTAAACTTGAAATTGATAGTAAATAGCAAATACACTTTATTGATAGTATATGTATGTTCATAGTATACAAAAATAATTGTCCTGTCCCCAAGTACCTATGGAAATTATGTGCAATTTTAAAGATTTTAAACAGACCTAAACGGAAGTCTTGTCTATGACTTAATAGTCCGTCCGATGACGGAAACAATATCCGGACGCCTTTATTTTCGTTTTCCTCCCAAAATAACCCAAACGGAATAATCATAAGCGAGGGTGACAAATGCGACTATGTATGTTACATATATAACACAGAGGCATGGTGATTAATTCATTGTGGAAGGAAGAGAAGCGACACACAAAATGAGGTCTTCTCATTTAATAGTATAGATGACAGATTTTCTGCAACGATCAGACCATTCGGTACATATCTGACAAATGATTTCGATGTCGAAATGTGCGAAAGAGCTGCTTTTAAGCAAAATCCAGTATAAGAAAAACGGATAAGCATTATTACTAGGAAGCATAACCATAAGGGTTGAAATCATGTGCCCCGGAAGAATAAGTATCTTACTCTGTGCATGGTACCTGTCTGACCCATCATTTAACAAAGTCCCTTCACAACACAAAAAGCAGTTTGAATGTTTAACTAATTTCTATTTGAGCGTAAAATAATGTACTAAATCATTTTTGACTGATGACGATGTAAGACCTGTAATGATCATGAATAATGGCTTACCTCAAACACGTGACTTTCTAATAAGAAGTCTTTATTTCTCCAACAGTACAGTTATTCGACAAATTCATAGCGGAAAAAATTATTAATATATATTAGAAATCTATGACATAATTATTTTTTCCAAATCTCAAGAAAGATTATTTGCTACAATAGAACAGGTAGTCACTGTTATATAGCTGGCAAATTACTTTATGTTGTGTAACTTCTAACAGAAAATTAAAGAGATCATAGGGATAAAAAAAAATAACATAAAAACAGCAAAAAGCAAATCAAAAGCACAGTAAAAGCTCGTACAATAAAGGGTGAGGGCAACACCAGCAACACGAGAAGAAGAAAACAAGGGTAGAAACAAACACACTTTATTTATTGATTAGGATACTTGCAAACTAGCTTTTCTAACTTTTTCTTTTCCTTCTGTATAACAAAACCGTCGTCGTCAGCGGCAGCTTCGACGTTATATGACGTTATTTAATTGTGACCGAAAAATACGTAATATCCAAATCTGCCATAGATTTGGAGAAAACAAAAAACTGCCATAGATTTGTGATTTGTTTGGCGTTTGTGACATCATATATACCATAGATAAGGAATTTGCAGGAATTTGCCATGTATCTGGAACCCACCATAGATTTGAGTCCTAAATATATAAATGTTGAGAGTGAACACGAATGCGGCAACTTCCATTTTAGACAAAAATGATCTGAAAAGTGACGTTAAATGGTATATTTGAAAGATGTTTCATATTTAAGCTTGAATTTGAGCGTTTTTAATGATCAAGTCAGTCAAAATCTTTTACAATAACCAATTGAATCGAATGAAGAAGTTACTTAAGTGTTTAAAAAATGTCAAAAATCTTTCATCAGATGTGTTTCGAATTTTTGCCCGAAATTAGCCCTTACCAGACCTTCTCCTTTGCTTTTACAAAATTGAGGTAATTCTTTAAAATCAAGAATTGTATCTCCCTCATGCAAAGCTCTGATTCCTTGCCCAGCTTTGGAAATACTTTTTTGTTCTTATTGGTTTATAGCTCTTCATGTTTTAATAAGCTTTTGATTTTCAAATATTTTGGCCTCGAGCATCACTGAAGAGACATTCGTTGTCGAAATGCGAAATGCGTAACTGGTGCAGAGAAATAGGTACCGTTTATATATGTTATTGTAATTATCAAAATCATGAATTAAATCCATTGCATTTGTTTTTCCTTGTATAATAAAAAAAAACAACAGAGTATATGGGGTATGTCCTTGTTCACTTATAGTTATATATTGATCCAGATTAAAACGTACGGCAGCTTAATTAATTACCAAACCGATAGTGAAGATTGTTGATATTTTAAGAGACGCCACAATGGAACTTTTTCACATAAAAAGTGACCTATGAATTATGATAAAGGCATCTAAGGACATATTGTTTCTATTTATTAAGACCTATATTGTCTGTTTCGGCATTCCAAACCATTCCCAGTTTAATTATACAAACTTAAAAAAGTGCCTGTAAACACCGTTCTTCAATTTTGTCAGACAAGGAAGGAGAACTTCAAGGCTGTTGTACTGTAGGAAGATTGTTTATAACTGAACATGCAAACTTTAGGCTCAGAATGTTCTACAAAAATGTAATTTTCCAATTCAGTTAAGATTCCTAAATGCTCCAAGGGTGTGCAAATATCTTTTTTTTTTTATTAATTAATGCGTATCTTCAGTTTTCATTTTCATTGCGTAGCCTAGCTACATTTAAACATTAAGACATTTCAGTTTCACACGGAAAACTCTATTCCACAATTTACAAAGAGGGACGATTTTTTGTTACCTATTGTTTATTTTAATTTTTTGGACCTTAGTTTTCTAATTGCCTAATTTTCCGTTGTTTTTATACTCCTAATTCGTTTGCTATGTCCGTGGCATTAAAGACGAAATGCATGTATCAATGCAAAGTTGTTAAGTCAGGGATTCCGTTACTATGTTTTAAAATAACAAGGTGTTTTTTAAAAAAGATTGTTATAAGTTGATAGTAAATAAATGAAGGAACTAAAAAAGCAAAAATAACATAAAGGGTCCGTGTGCTTGTTTTAGAGATATAAGCCATTGAAAATTTGGCGGGAAAATTTGGCCAAAATGAAATACTAAAAACAAATTAAGAAATGAGCGTATAAACATAATATTTATGTTATATGAATTTAAGGCGTAATTACTATATAAGTAAGCCGTCTACCAAAACCAATAATAACAACAATATATCAAAAATGTCAATTTACTATCGTACTTTTAAAGTGGTATGTTGGTGTAACTCATAAAACTTGATTTGAAACTCTTAGCCATAACTTGAAAATTGTTGTCACGATCATTTCCCAATTTGGTCCTTTACTGGTGAACACACTTCCTTTGTACGTATAGATCATCAATAGAAAAATCTAGCGCAAAATGTTTGAGAATTTTATATGAGAGACATATATAAACTTCCCCATGCTTATCCTGTTTTTATGGTGCTTGTAGAGCTGTCATGATCAGGGAAATTTCACTTTGGTTTTAAATCAGGTGATTAAAGGGGCCCCAAAATAGACTAGTTTAATGCCATTCAAACCGGAAAACCAATGGACTAATCTATATAAAAACGAGAAACGGAAAACACTTATGAACCACATCTACAAACGACAACCACCCAACATCAGGTTCCTGACTTAGGATAGGTGCATACACATGCAGCGGGTTTAAACGTTTTAATAGGCGCAAACCTTTTTTACCCTACCCTGAAACAATGCAATAGTGTAACATCACAACACAGAAACACACACTATAAAATATCAATTGCAATGGCTAAACTCAATCAAAAGACATATTGACAAAAACAAGTGAACATACACAGAACGAATAAATTTGATCTATAACACAATGCAAATGCAAAAATAATAAAACTGTGTATGCCATTGCTGAAGAAGATTATGAGACTGTTTCTAGTTCTAACTGATGATCTTGGCCGAAAATTGGACTGTTTCAATTCATCCTTTCAAAACCTTTATTTTCTCGAAGACACGTACATCCAAGATTATTTATATTGTGGTACTGTTGGGGATCAAATACAAGATGTTTCAACTGTGAAAGTAATGTGTGTTAGAAATACATTTGACAGTTTTAATCGCTGTTGTCTTACAATATTGATTGGTAAAACAAATGTGTTACCAGTTCCTGAAGCAGAAACTTAATATAGTAAAAGTTTGAAAATCATTGTTCACAATGTTTTAACCCAGTTTGACAGACTCTGGACAATAACACCAGTAAACCTAATAGTTCTGCTCCCACACTGTGATTATGTTTTATTCCATTCAAAAACATATCTCAAATAATATCCTCATGATGACAATACGATCGCTGGTCGACTATCAGAGATCAGAGTTATTTTTTTTAATTTTTGGTTGTGTTTTTTTGCTCAAGCATTCAAGCTTCTTGTGCTGAAGAAATGTTAAAAAAAAACTCTTTTTCAATATATGTTGTAAAAATACTTGTAACACATGTGTAACAGCATTACCGATATTTTGCTACAAGATGTTTTTAATAAAGAGGTTGATGTGATAGTATAACTACATCTAGTAAATGAAACATTTAATTGAATTCGAGCGTCCGACAATACCTTCATCAGGAACTCTCAAGCCCAAACCTGTCTTACTGTCATGCCTAGCCTACTATGTTGTAGCACATGTGTTATGTTTGCCTGTTTATGCGTCCATACGTCCATCCCAGTTTTGTACACATCAATTTGAAACTTAATAAAGTAGTAATTATGAAATGTACTGTTTAAGGTGGTACCCAACACCTTGACTAATATTAATTTGGCTCGTTTAATTTTCATAAAATTTTGACAAAATGTTTACTTTGACCCTTTGACAAAAATATAAAAATTTCAAAAAATTTGAACCAACCACTTTATCAGAAAAATTTCTTTGGTTATATAGCTGTTTGACAAACACTAATTTTGATCATTGAGAAGCTTAATATTTCCTTAACAATACAACGTAATTAAAACGTTTAGCTGATTTTTACAGAGTTATCTCCCTGTAGTGTTAGGTACCACCTTAATATATATGTCAAATATTATTGTTGAGGAATTTATTTACCTTATTTTTTTTTCTCTTTGATTTACACAATCATTTAAAATTTATATCACAATAAAGTATATTTTGTTTGTTTTGTAAAGAAAATAACTAAATATAGAAATAAAATATTTATCACCAATCAGTTACATTTTGAATTTCAGGTAGTTATTTCACGAAATGGTCACTTGATTTTAAATCAAAAGAAGACATAGCAATGAACAACTTCGGTAATTTAGCGAAGCAAAAATTGATGGCAGGAAAATTGGATTGCTGTATTGCAGTATTTCTGAAAGATTCAGATGTGAAAAATGTTTCACAAAATGGCAGAGACATTTACTTGTACCCTGGAGATTTATTGCTGTCAGGGGTCAAGTACTTTGTATGCTAAGACAACACTTAATATCAGATTTGAGTTTGTTGTCAAACTAGTTGTCAACTGTTTTGAGAATAATTATGTAAGAGTTTTTATCAAAAAATATATAGCTTTTTTTGCAGTGAATCCGTTACTCCATGCTATCTGACTACTAGTAATTTGTTTTTAAGGAACAACAGTTTTTGGTTTGGTTTTGTATTTTTACCTAAATGCATCTTTCATTTGAGAAGTGATTTTTTTTGTTCTAATTTTGTGATCATAGTTGTCCTTAAAAAAAAAGAAACACACTATAATTTGACATGGGACAACCACTTGAATGTGTGGCGGGATTGAAAGATTTTTTCAGATCTTATCCTTTAGCCTCAGTTTTTAATTTCTATGTGTGGAATAATAAAAAAAAAACATAAAAGAACATACAAGAAAAATGTCTTGTTCTAAAAAAACGGTATATAGATAACAAAATTAATAATAGCAAATTTTATTCATACTTATTTTTTATAATTGAAATAATCAATACGTGCATTGACGTCTCTGTTTTTTTTTCAATGGAATACATCAATATGTTCATAAATCTTCAAAAGAACTGTCAGAAATTCTTGATCAACAGGCGACATACTTTTTAAGGTCGCTACATCTTCACGATGTCGTGCTATCATTTGCTTTGATTATTTTCACATACTTACTTTTTAATTCAGATCCTTACTATTATTTAGTCATACTTTATTGATTTATTTCACTTTGCACTGATTCTTATTGTCTTTTGCAGATTTATATCTGATTTATTTAGATACTTTATTTGAATTCTAAAAGTTCTGAATAGAACATTAGATTTATTACAGATTATTTCATTTTCATTCAGACTTTTGTTTGATATTTTTACTTTCACATTTAGTTGGATTAGTATGTCGATTTCGGGTATTAAGCAGGAGTTGTTACGACTTGGACACGTCCTTGATAGATATGAAGAAGATCTCAATATATTTAACCAAAAACATAAAAAGAGACGTAGACAATCACGTAGAAAGAGGATACCGTACTGGTACGACCAAGAACAGGATATAGCACAGGATCAGGAATTAACACATGAGCCATACATACCTTTTGACACTAGGAAGAAGCCTGTCATATGCTACATATGTGAAACTGAATTTCATACAGCTATAGGATGCCGAGTTATACTCATCATTCTTGCAAGGCATACAATTTTCAACAGAATGGTGCTGAAGACCGTACTCATGCCTCTTATGAACAACAGTCATCTAAAGATTGCCTGGTTTACTTGGAAGTCCTAATGAAGTTTCAGTGAAGATCAACGATATTGCAGCATCTGCTTTACTTGATACAGGATCAACTGTTCGTACACTTAGCGAGATATTTTACAACAAGTATCTTCAAGATCAGATTATTCAGCCATTGGACCAGATACTCATGATAGAATGTGCTGATGGACAAGATATTCCATACTTAGGATACATCACAGCTAGTATTGAAATACCAGGAGCAGCAACAACTGGTTGTACTCACCTTTCTTTTATTTTGTTGTTGTACCGGACAGCAATTATAACAGAGAGGTTCCACTACTGCTTGGTACTAACATATTAAAGGAAGTTATAGAAGATGTCAAGTTATGTTTTGGCTCAAGGTTCCTTCAAGATGCCAACCTACACACCACCTGGTACCTGACCTTTCTATGTTTGCTATTGAGAGAGAAGGAGTTGCAGAAGAGGTCAAGCAGATTGGGACTTGTAAAATCAGCAGAAGGAAAGACCATCAAGATTCTTCCAAACAGAGATGTAATTGTCCAAGGTTAAATAAATCACGAGTTACCGTACCATACAGTATGTGCTATGCTACAACCAACTGAGAAGGCAGTTATTCCAACTGACTTAGATGTGGATCCTACATTATTGTCCTACAGTTACAGAAACAAAAGCACTATTCAAGTTCACACAAGCAACGTCATCACCAGGACAGTTACCATTTCGCCGAATGCCATCTTATGCGAGATACAGCCAATTTCAGTAGCTGATATAGAGATATATACTGAGTTCGATGATGATCCTACACATCAAGTTACACTGCCAACAAACTTGACAGATGCACAAGTACAGCAAGGAAAAGATTTGATCCAACAGTTCTGAGATGTTTTCAGCAAGAGTGATATAGACATTGGCCATAGTACAGCAGTTCATCACAGCAGAGAAATAGAATCTGATCGCGAAACTTCAAGACAACTAGTTTTCCCAGAAATCTGCATATCCACAGTTCTTACATCTTTACATCATGACATGGGCCACCAGGGAAGAGCCAAGACCTTGTCATTGGTATGTGACCGCTTCATCTGGTATGGCATAAACAGAGACATTGGGTTACCAACTGCGAAAGATGCACCTGTCCTAAGTCAGGAATCTGATGTACAGTAGTTTTCGTCTGTTTATGTAGTTCATACGTGTTTCTCGTTTCTCGTTTTTATATAGATTAGACCGTTGGATTTCCCGTTTGAATGGTTTTACACTTATCTAGTAATTTTTGGGGCCCTTTATAGCTTGCTGTTCGGTGTGAGCCAATGCTCCGTGTTGAAGGCCGTACCTTGACCTATAATGGTTTACTTTTATAAATTGTTACTTGGATGGAGAGTTGTCTCATTGGCACTCATACCACATCTTCCTATATCTATCCAAATGAGAGAACTCCACTTATCAGCATAGAAACATCACAACCTTTAGAGCTGGTTGGCATGGATTACTTAACCCTTGAAAGAAGACTTACAGAGAGATTCAACCGAACCTTATTTAACATGATTGTAACTCTACAGACTACACAGAAGAAAGACTTGGAGTCTCATGTAGCTGGACTCGTGCATGCGTACAACTGTATCAAACAGACAACCACTGGATTTTGTCCGTACTTCTTGGTGTTCGGTAGACATCCACGTTTGCCTGTGAACATAGCATTCGGAATTGACGATACTGGTACAAAGGAACCATCTACAAAGTATGCTGAAGCCATGAAGGAGCGTCTGAAGAAAGCATATGAACTGGCATCCCGTTCAGCAAAGACAGCACAAGGTCGACAGAAAGAGGGATACAATAAAAGAGCCCTTGTATCCATTTTGCAACCCGAAGATCGTGTAATTGTTAACGTAGTCGCATTCGAAGGGAAGCATAAGATAGCAGATAAATGAGAAGAGGACACGTACAGAATTGTTAAACAGCCTAGTCATTCCTGTTTACGTGGTCCAGAAGGAAAATGGAGAAGGATGCAAAAGAACACTGCACAGAAACCTCCTCCTACCAATTGGACATCTGCCCGGTTTGGAAAAGGCTACAGAGCCTAAAAGATACCCTGCACCAAGGAAACAACATATAAAGACAGTCATTGAGGGAAAGAAGACGAACTCCGACAGTACCAAAGAGGAAACTGACACAGAATCGGCCAGAGCAGGGCTATATTATTTATTTGCCAGAGGAAGACGCACAGTGCAACACCAACAGTGATGCTGTACCTGTGGTAGATGGGCAACAAGAGACCGTCAACTTGGCTGGTGACGATCAAATTTTAGTTGATGGAAGTCAGGAGAATGGTTTTGGACAAGACGTTATCCCTCCAGTACAGTTAAACACTGGTGAACCAACTCTTGGGGCTGATGTGACAACAGGTCAAGAAGCGACTGACCAGATTGACAGAGGGGATACTTCTGACAAACAGGATGAGCAGGATGGCAGTACACTCCCAGACACATCAGGTTATACGGAGGCCGACAGAGATAACACAACGGGCCAAGATAACATACAGCAACAACCAGCAAGGCTCAGACGACGCAGGATATTTCCTACACCACCAAGAAAATTACCATCAAGATCAAGAATTAGAAAACCACCTGCACCAAACAAGCTATTGGACAAACATCTGGGCTACAGAAAGTAGAATGGATAAAAAGACAACCGAAAGAAGGAATGTTTTGAGAAATGGAGAATGACATCACACGTACCATCTTTGAAATTGTAAAAGAAAAATCATAGTGAAATACCAGTTTTGAATGCCGAGAACGTCATTTCTTCTTCAGAGGGAGGAGGAGTCGAATGACGTGGAAGTCATTTTTCCAACACAGGGGAGAATGTGATAGCCTCTTTATTTTGTGTATTTTTTAATTGTAAAATAAAGATGTATAATTTTGAAATGTTAAATAAAACTTCAAAACGTATTGTCTTTTATAAACTTTGATTACACTGAAACGTTTCCATACATTATTGTTGAATATTCATGATTACTTGGATTTCAAGTGATCTGATTGGTTGATTTAAAGTTTTAGCGCTGAGTTGTGAGTTTCTCTGTTTTGAGGTAGAAGCACTAATGGATTCAAAATGGACAGATGTTTATGTCCAGAAGCCATTGAAGTTATTGAGAATTTATAGAATATAGTCATGATTGGATTGTAATGACAGACTTGACATTTTGACAATTTATAAGCTGTTATATAGATATAACTGTGTGATATACAAGTATGTACATTTGAATTGGTTTGTGCCACAGCAGTAACTACCTTGCTCCACAAGTTGGGTGTTTTACGTTACTGATTAATAAATATCCTGAACCCTATCAAAGTGACTTTAGTCTTATATGAAGTCCAAAAGTATGCTATTACATAATGACTGTTGGAATATATAGGATAGTATTGGTGTTATAGCCTCTGCTGTTTCTTTGTGGAATTTGATTGTATTTTATCTGGACCACTGGCTTTCTTTTCGTTTAGGCGTTCTTTGTATTTTTTAAAATCCTTTGTCTGTTACGTGTATTTGAATGTCTTTGTCTGGAATTTGATGATTAATCTCGTTGGTTAACACAGGTACAAATTGGTTATTTAACATATATGCCTTCACGTTTGGTTTTTCGGCTATTCTATCTTCAGCTTTCAGTGTTCCAAAAATTAATGCTCATTGTATCGATCCTGCTTCCTCGATTTGATGTATTTCCAAAAGGTTTTCGATGTTGTAAATTTTTTTTCGGAACCTAACAGGTTATTCAGGTAAGATGTAAATAGTTTCAAGGTTATGTAGTCTTTCTGAATAGTTTGAAATGTTCTGCTTCTTTTCTGGGTTTTCCTTTCTGAAGTAGATATAAGTAGTTGTGGTATTGTGATAACTTCTTTATTTTGTTTATATTGTAATTGTAAAATAAAGATGTATAATTATGTTAATGATAAATAAAACTTCAAAACATATTGTCTTATATAAATTTTTATTACACTGAAACGTTTCCATATATTATTGTTGAATATTCATGATTACTTGGATTTCAAGTAATATGATTGGTTGATTTTTAGGGCTCATTTCCGAGTTTCTTTGTTTTGAGTTAGAAGGACTAATGGAGTCGAAATGGACAGATATTTATATGTCCATTAGCCATTGAAGTTATTGAGAATTAATATTGAATAGTCATGATTGTATTGTATTGACAGAGTTGACATTTTGACGTGAGTTTTCTTTATCTACTTCTTTAATACTTCTAATATATTTCATAGA